GTATTGACTTTCTTTACAATGAACGAATGGAAATTTACAAACGATAATGTATTGAAGTTATGGGACAAATTATCTGTGGTCGATAAAAGTAACTTCTTCTTTAATGCTGCTGATATTGATTGGGAATGKTATGGTKTTACTTWTGTAAGGGGTATTCGAGTATTTTTGTTTAAAGACCCGATGGATACGGTGGAAGAATCAAGACCTTATTATAATAGGTAAATGTTTTATTTTCTTTTTTTTATAACAAATATTATTTTTATTCTATTTAAAATTAATTATTCTTTTTATTGTTTATCATTTCCAGGTTGATAATAGCTCATCGTACGTTGAATGGGCTTATTTATGCTTTGATTCTTTGGATTTTATATTCTATATTATATTCTCTTTTCACTTACATATTTTATTTCTGACAATCTGTTAAATACCGCAATAAAACGATTTTTTCTTAATTATCATTGGATAGAAAACGTTAATTATTTCTTTATAGAATAAGTATTTTTTCATGTATATAATATGTTTATATATTTAACAGAAAATCTTTACATGTACAATTGAATAAAAATAATATAAATGTTTTAATTAAAGTAATAAAGAGTTATCACTGCCCATGTATTTGATAGACATACAACTATTGATAATAAATAACTTATTATATGTGACAAAAAAATTATGTTATAAAATTAAAAATATTTTAATCAACTTTTTATCTGAATTTATTAACTAGTATGTACGTTATTTGAAATATACTATGCCTTATATGTAGAGGAGGGCTGAAAATATCGAAATCCTGCATATAGATCGCAGAAAAACTCAGAGCAGCACATGCAGTGACCACCGGCTTGGTTCTCTCAAGTTATGTAGAGGGTTTCTCTAGAGTAAAGGTAATATTAGACTGAATTTTATTTTATGATTTTTATTTAAAGGATGCGACTTGCTTTTCTTCCTTGTACACTTCTCAACGGCTACGTACAGACTGTCCTAGTTTAGTGAATACTACTTGTTAGCGTGGTTCCCTAGCCTTCTAGTAACTTTAGAGGGCGCGACCCTCTGTCGTACCGCTACAGTTAAATACCTACTATCGCCCACTGGTGATCTCGGTGCTAACTAAGATGATTTTGGTTTCATGACAAGTTGATTTGTGAACTTATATTTACTTTTGTATATGGTGGTTAGAGGTAAGGAGTAACATCTCTTATGGGAGAAAATGTGAAAAAGTGTCCAGCATTTTCTATAAATAATAGTTCAAAGATCTTTCAGAATGGCGCTGTGAACTTAGAAGGTATGGTATGAAAGTAGCAATTGTTAACGAATTGAAGTATGTCGAGTTATGTAATAATATAGTAAATATAACCTTAAAGAATTATTATGAGAAAACGTGTAGCCAGAGTGATTTTATTTCGTTAACTGTGAATAGTACGTTTATTGATTTGTTATCATTTAATTTTATGAAAAAGTATGTGAAATAAAACAGTTATGGTTAAAATTTGTGTTTCTTGTTTATTACTTAATCCCACTCTAATAATATTTGGCGTTTTTTTAAAAATGTACCCTCTATGTACTGTGGCGCCACCCTAATTGAATGCATTTCGACGGACACTTTTCATATACAGAGATTTTACTCCTAACCTCTACCCTCTATACCCTATACGAATATTTATATTGCGCTTTCATTCTATCTAATCTTCCTTATTTAAAATTACTATTCGTAAACATCCTAGTTAATATATCTAAATTAAATGTTCAATAAAATTTCTTAAGCAAAGTAAATTGTTGGCTATAATTTATTGATTATTACAATTTTGCGAAATGTTGTATCGTGTAATGAATCAATGTATTCGAATATTGCCGTATAAAATAAATCATTTTAAAATAAACATAAGATTTTTATGTGAAATACCTACAGTAAAAGAAAAACAAACTACAGAATTAAATTCTACAATTAAAGATGAAAAGTTACAGACAGAAAGATATCCTGGATATGAAATAATTTATAAATATCCTTACATAAAATATGTAAGTTTATTTCATATATTTAAACGAACTTTGATGATAAACACTGTTGCCACAGTGCCGATAATATTTCTGTTGTATCAAGTAAACATCCTATCAAAGGAAGTAGCTTTCTTTGTACCACTTTTTGGTAAGCACTTTTAAGAATAACAAAATGTAATTCAAAAAATTAATTGGTGTATCACAGTTAATTCGATGCCTTGATATTAGATTCATTGCATCATAATCGCATTCTTTTTTAATCAAAGATTCAACAGTTGTCTGAAAGATGAATTAAATTATCGAAAATAATGGAAACCATTTCGAAGAATAACAGATGCATGTTTACTTTATAAATGAATACTAAATCTTTTTAAAAAGTCATCGAATTATTTGTTACATCTAATACATTTGTTCATATCTCTATTAATAGAAAATCATTTTTTCTTACAGCAAGTTCAATTGCATTATCAGTGTTTATAGTTGGAGCATTATTTACTAATCAAATTGGTATCATATACTATAAAGATAATGATTTGATAAAGATTGCATATGTCAATCAGTGGGGTAAAAGAACAGACATTGATACTAGGATTAGCGAAATTAAACCCCTTAATAGTACTGCTTTTTCAACAATGAAAATGTTTAGAAATGTACACATCACTTCACTTAGGTATCCATTAAAATTATATGTGAATCACAGTGTAATTAGTAACAAAGAACAACTTGCAAGTATATTAGGTGATTATGAATAATATATCTGTATTTAGATTTCCTATTTAATAATGTAATATACATGTTATAATATTTAATTATATTTCTTTTACAAGAGCAATGTTTTATTTAATTTTATTTTTTCATCCACCTAAAATGAGCATAAGCACGATTAGCATCACATTCTTTATGCAAATCATGTTTTTTCATAATAACACGACCCTATAATAATGAAAAAATATAAATTAAAAAGAAATAAAAAGTAATTTCATTAATTAAATCATTACAACAAAAATATCACATATTCTATTAAAGATTATTCTCAATAAATAACTCTAATATAATATAGAAGAATCGTATACATACAAAAAATATACACTAACCCGTTTATTAAAAGCATCTATAAGTTCTCTCGCTAATTGTTCAGGAAAATGTACTTCTTTCTCTTTGGTTTTTGCTGCTTGTATTAACCAGTTCATTGCTAAAAATTTAGCTCTGTGTGGACTTATTGCTACAGGAATTTTATAATTTATACCACCTCTTCTATGTCTTTTTAATTCTAAAATTGGTGTAACGTTTTCAATAGCCGTAATGAAAATTACTTTAGGATCTAATTCTATAGCCTCTTTTTCATCATCAGACTTAGTCCTATGATAATCCTTTATTTGCATTACTTTAATAGTTTCAAAAGTATTTTGCAGTAATTTTCTAGCTAACTCTTTTTTTCCTTTTCTCATAATATAATTTATAAAGCGACTAGAATGGATGAGATTAAATATATAACATTTAAAATCATATAAATTTTAAATATTAGTTCTTATATCACATAAAAAAAAAATATATATATATATATATATACTATTGTATATACCCATAAAATACTTACTTTACAGTATTATCATAAAATTCTGAGCTTGAATCTGTAGTAACCGCTGGTCTAAAAGATTTATGAATTATTTCTTTAATTTCTTTTGATGCATATAAATTTTGTTGTTCTTCTTTATTATATATTGGTTTAATATAATGAGTTGGAAATAAGCTGTAACATCTAATAAAATATAAAACGTTGAGTTATTTTAAATCAAAATGTTTCTTCTTAAAATACATTGAAATATATTGAACATAACCTTAACTATTATACATATACTTAAAGAACTAAACCACGCAAATGAAAATAAATAATATATAAATATATATTGTATTATACCTTTGATTTCCACAGAAATTTAATATATTAATTGATTTTTTAACAACTATACGTAAATTAGACATCGTTATATGTATTTATTAACTTCAAACAATGCCATTAAACATATATTTCATAATAAATATTTCGTATTAATTGTAAATAAAGACTATTATTATTAAAATTTCTCGTTTACATATATAATTATAAATATTAAGAATTATTTAATACAAATTAATGATCCTAAACATTTATTTAATTTTAAATACTTAGTTAAAATAATTTCGAACTTTATGAACTTTACGAATATTGCTTTACGAAACTTTTCTAGTCTGTCGTTAGGTGGAGCCAAATTCACAACACAACATAACCTTAATAGAAATATGAAGGGAGTAAAGCGTAACTTCCTACTGACTCCGGCAGATAGCGCAGCGATTGGCAGCGACTGTTAGATTAATGACGTAGCAAGTTTGCATATATACTTGTATGATTATATTAAAGTTTGATGAAGTCATGATTACGATAATAGTATTGCACATGTTCAATATTGCAAGTTGTACATAAATCAGATGTGGTATATATTCTCAGCAAGAAATCCGTAAGCTGTATTATACAAAGAGCTACTTTTGTGCATAGTTCTTGAAATATTTCATTCCAATTTGTAATTATTTATATTTTTAATTTGTTAAAAGTATTCGTTATATTAACGAGTGACAAATTCAAGTTATATGTATTTGGTTTTTTTCTGTGATAAAGCTTATTCAATAATTGTGATTAGAGCTTATAAAAAAGGTACGTATTTTTTCATGGTTATTTAAATGTAAATAAATTTTCATAAAAATGATCTGAGATTTGTTTTTATAGACAGATTTTCTACATATCAAAATATGGAATTTCCCAATTTAGGAGAACATTGTTCAGAGCAAACTTGCAATCGTTTAGACTTTTTACCTTTAAAATGTGATGCTTGTGAAGCTATATTTTGCACGGATCATATATCGTATATAAATCATTCCTGTCCTAGCGCTTATAAAAAAGATATACAGGTGCCAGTGTGCCCCTTGTGCAACAACCCGGTTCCACAAAAACGAGGGGATCCTCCAGACTTGGCTGTGAGCATGCATATAGACAGCGACTGCCAATCTGATGTTAGAAATGATCGTAGAAAAATATTTTCCAATAAGTGTTCATCTAAAGGATGCAAAGTTAAAGAAATAGTGCAGGTCAAATGCAACGACTGTGGAAGTAATTTTTGTTTGAAGCATAGACATCCTAGCGATCATGCATGTATTGGCAAAGAGGAAGCAGTTAGACTTAAAAGATTGAGTAATCTGAATAAACGTACTATGGCTTCGCAGAACGATAATCACAATAATTCTGTTGTATTCCGTAACCTTCAAGGTACAATGAGTGAAGATGAAGCTTTGGCTAGAGCATTGCAGGCTTCATTACAAGACGAAGGAAAAAATACTCGGCAAGGGTTACAGCCAGTGCCTTCTGCACATAGAAACAGATGCAGACTTTCTTAATTCTAATGCATCATTGTTAATAATCAATTTAAAATTTAACAAAATACTGCGGTTTAAAACCTTCATTAAAAAGGTGAATATATCTTTTTAGCCTTTTATCAAATTCTATTAATAATTATTATTCATAAATAAGATTTTATACCTTTTCCATATAAATACTCAATATTTATCAATCACACATTTAAAATATGCATATTACAATTATCGATAAATTTGTTCACATTTTTAACTAGCACGATAAGATTAGATAAACTGTTATAATAATAATAATAATAATAATAATAATAATAATCCATTTCTGCCATAATTATATGTAATGTAATATTTATTTAAACAATTATTTATTTCACTATAAAGCACTTTTTATAAATGATGGATTCATTTCTAAGATATTATCTGAAATGTCCATTTTAATTTATATTTTTGCACATATTTAATGTATTTTAAAATTACTGCAGATTTTATAATTAATATGTATATAATATAGAGTTATAACTTTTATGTAAGCTTTAAACAGACAAAAACATTTCAAATTTTTACATTTAAAAAGATTAGTAACAGTATCAAGTGCCTTAATAGATCAAGTGCATGTATAAGAAAATGGGCATAAATGTACATATATAAATATACAAAATAATTATAATCTATAAATAAATGTATATATTTACATATATATAATATATATATACGTATATAAAATGAAAAATGAAGTTATTTTTTTTTCAGAGTACATTTCTACTGTGTCTTACATACAATATTTCAGTAATTAAGTAGGCGTACCCATTTTCTACAATTTAAGCACGTTAGAATATAAAAACACAATTTTTATGCGAAAATAATAATATTTATCAATTAATTAAGCAATGAATTACAGCTGTATCGGATGCTAAATCTTTTGGATATATCTTTAAGTAATATGCATATTCAAATATCTTACAATTAGATTGAAAATATTTTATATCTAGTACGAATGTTTCATTATTTATTATGATATTTAAAATGTTATTAATAATAAAATTTAATTTACATATGTAAAAATTAAAGATAACAAAAAAACATATAGAATTTGTTAAAAATATCCATAATTTTACAATCTTCAATATTATGTACTGTGATCATATCAACGACATTTTCATACTTTTAATCAGTCAATAACAATAATTATAAATAAATGATAAATGCCTCTAGTATTCTGTTATAGCATAGAGGTATGCACAATATCCTTCATAATTTAAAAATATATATATATATATCTCTTTAAACTTTTCTCTTGAAATATAAAGTTCCTAATAATTAAGGAATCAGTATGAATATGAAAATAATGTTCACTACCTAAATGTTCTTATTTTTTAAAATGCAAATGATAATTATTTGACTTTAAATATTTTATATTTATTAAACTTATTGACATTATTATATTAATGTATAAAGAAATCAACATGATATTGTATTTTATTTGTAATGTGCATGATATTATTAAAATAATTATTATAAATTTCTTTTAAAATTTATGATAAAATTTTTCAAATGAAATATTTTACAAATTATTTGTTTAATATATATATTTATTTATTTTATTCCTATTATTTTATTGTGAAATATAATTTATTTTATATAATTACATTTGAGGATAGTAAAGTACTTATACAACAAAACTTATTTCATCATTGTAGAATATTAATTTTATTAAATATTCAATTAGCAATAAAGCACAATTATTTGTTCACTTAAAATTAATGTTAATATCAAAGTTGAATGAAGAAAAATATCTTATATCTCATTTATATTATACAAATTTATTACAAATTTGAATAACATGTTGTGTATATATTAAATTAACACAACAGTACAAAAATGAACATAAATAATGTATAGTTTAAATAGAGTTATAGTATATAAATTCATGAGTTAAATTATTGTTTAATTATGGCTTTAGCAGGAATTGTTGTTTTGATACAATTCAATATTTTATATAATATCTATACATTGTGATGTTTTTAATTGCTTAAATTAAAAGATTCATTTTATATTGATCCACAATATTTAAAAATCTAAATTATTAACTTTTTAATGAGTATTATGTTCTATGTAATACTAATTGCATATAAAGACAAGTAGTATTTTTAATTTAAATACAATATCAAAGTAATAAAGGGTTCCTTCTATTTTTTCTAATAATTATTTATAAAGTCTGATAAGATAATTACTATTCAATTTTATATTCACGTCATATCAAACAAGTTACTCAAAAATTCAGACTATATGATTCATTTGTAAAATATATCATTATATTAGGAAAAGTCTGTAATTTAAATTACTCGTTTAACTCATTAATATCTGTAACTAATAAATTTGATGACGTGTTACAAAAGACATTAATAAAGCATGTATATTAAGATAATAATAATCGATTAGATATAAATAGATCAATATTGTTGTACATTATATAAGACAAATTTTATATAATACACATTATTTTCCAACTTTTCCTAATTTGGTATTAGTTTTAGGATCGGCTGTATGATTTTGCATAAAAACAATCAATTCATTAATCTTAGTTTGTAAATTCCTTAAATCATGAGTGAATAACAATGTTAAATATGAAGCATTATTATCTAAAACAACATCGCCTAAACTGACACCAGCTTTAGTATCTGTAATTGGAAATGGCTTGCCTTTGACAATAACAGTATCAGGATTTGCAATTGCTGCTGGATTTAGTCGATTACATACGAGTTTGCTACAACCCTCAAGCGTAATAAAATGATCAGAATGTATTGGAATTTTCAAGAGTTTGGCTATAGTATTAACGCCATTTTTAAATTCATTGCTGTAAACTAAAGTAAAAAGTAAATCATTAATACATTTTTATCAAATATGATATTCAAAATGGAACATTGAGATAATACTTACAATCTAAATTATCTAATGGATTTGTTAATTTTAAACTTGGTTTTATAGATTCTTGTTTAGTTTTTTTACTTTCAGTAACTTGTTTAAGTTTTTTATCTATGACAAATATAACATTTTTGTTAGATATATTAAATTTACATTAGATTTAAGTATATTTAGCATAGTTATATTTTTGACTTACAATTATCAGTATATACTAAGTTGACTGCATGTGTAATGAGCCATTCCAACTGGTCAAGTGGATTAGTAGTTAATGGGCAATTGAGATCCTTACAATATTTTTGGAAAGCCTCTGGCCATTTATCAGACTTAATATCTCGTAAATCATTGCGTTTTTCAATAGTATAATGTCGAATTTTTTGGTCTTCCAACCATACGACAACTTTACGAAAATGTTCAGTATCTAAGAAATAGATTTGTTTTAAATATTTGTTTTAAATATTTGATTTAATTATCTTCTCTATATATAGTCTAATTCAAAACAATGAAAATAACTTTTTTGAAAGAAAATATTGAAACGTATGCAATTCTTAAAGACTAATAAGTGTATATAAATGTAATAACTTACTATTTCCATTAACTTTATCCCATTCCAAATATCCAATAGCTTTTAATTTACGTTTAAACATTGTAGTTTTTCAAACAAACAAAAAATATAATAATAATTTATTAATAATGTTAATTGTGAAATCTAGCAGTCTTTTACATCAGTTCTTGATAATGTGGAGAATCGCTAGTTGGCACTGTCCGCTAGATGTTCAATTCGTGTCTTGTTAAGAGATTATCTTTTATATATAAATATATTTCATTAATTTATAAATAATGTATTTTCTGCGGTATACCAAAATGTTCATAACATTCTTATACAATGAATAAAGGACTAGATGAAATTAAATATGTATATACTTAAAGACTATTCTAAATATATATTTTCAATATGGCGCTTTTAACAAAAATCATAATTTCTGATTGGTCGAGAAAAAGAAGTAAAATTTTCAAAAAGATTGGAAAAAGAATAATAAAAGAAAGAATTAAACAAGTAGAAAATAGTTCGAGATAATCGATATATGAGAAAGTCGATAATCGTTCTCAAAACAAAATTTACGAATAATTGTATTCCAATCTAGATATCATATGCAACGTGCTCATTGGTAGAAGGCGAGTTGCGCGACTCGTGTGCGCAATCACATTTCTATCTGATAGCAGAGTGGGATTGCAGAGTGCAATGATGGCGGCCACCAGCGAGGAACGGATTGTTATGGAGCCTTCGAGGACAAATTGTGGACAGAGTCAAGTTGTGGATCGACTAAAAATGCTTTATCCGATGGTGAACGAAGAGGAAACACCATTACCGAGATCTTGGAGTCCAAAAGACAAGTACAACTACATAGGACTGTCACAAAATAATCTTCGCGTTCACTACAAAGGTACGTGAAAGCTCTCTCTCGATCCTCCGTCCAGGGAGTGATGCATTTAAATTCTTACCAAAATCAACTATATTCGTTAAATGAAAATATCTAAGTAATTATCGAGTATCAATGTTTGATTAATTAAAACGATTGACTAGTCCGAGCTCGTCGGGCTGGTCCCGGACAGAAGCGAAATATTGATTGAAAATGGCAGAGCTCTTTTTTCGCGTGTGTCAGCGACCTAAACAAAGGAATCAGCTGATCGCTCGTGGTCTCTCTTTCTGTCTCTGCGTCGATGCAAACCTTAATATGTTCCTCGTGTTGACTGTTTAACTTATTTTTGATAACGACGATGACAAAGATCCTCCTCGTAGTCTTCTTTCTTTATCCTTGTGTCGCGATAGTTCTACATCTATTGATGGACTGACTTGCTTAATCTTTTGCTTCACTATATTATTCTTATTGTTACTGTTACTGCTGTTGTTACTGCTGCTGCTGCTGCTGCTGTCATTGCTATTACTGTTATTGCTGCTAATGCACGCAAATCGCGTACACAAATATACGGCATAGAAACAAATTAAGCGTGTGCATATAAAAAAGAACATTCTTTATAGAGAAAGAAGGAAAGAAAAAAAAAGAAATAAAAGATAACAAGATACACGTTCCGATCTCTCTCAATGGACAGCTGTGAATGCGTCCGAACGTTGCATGCCATGTATATTGCAATGCGTGTGCGTGTAATGCATGAACGTGTACGCAGTTGAACACAAGGAACCGAGAAAGAAATAATCCAACGACGGTTCCTTTATAGAAAAGAGCTTTCATTTTCGTTTTTATCGAATGCGTGTTTCTTAATTCCTCTTTCTTTCTTTCTCTTTCTCTCTCTCTCTCTCTTTCTTTCTTTCTTTCTCTCTTTTTATCTTTATCTTTCTCTACTCTGATAATTATCATTACTAATAATATCCTGTTTCCTTTCTCGAGTTAATCGATCATGACCGCAACCATGACGAAGGAATTATTATGCTTTTCGAATAATCTTCGATTTTATCTATTATCTTACATCGTATTTGAAATATTTTGTCAACTTCTCTTATTGCATAAATTTGTTCAGCATGTCCACAGAGTATATGTATATGTATATATATGATATTTACCGTTTGATAACTTATCGATGGAGAAATACAATAATTAATAGTATTTTCATGGCAAACTTAGAGAAAATTTTTAAATATTATTTGTTTATAGTTAAAAATAAATATTTAAAAATTCGTTGTTATTATTATTTAACAAAGCACGTAAAAAAAAAGTCAATATATTAACATAGACAAATCATTTCTATTCTATCCCTATTATCGATGAATTCTCCAAGCGTGAAACATACGATTTTACAAACGCAATGCGACGATGACGACAATGACGACAACGACGATGATGGAGACTCCTTTGTAATCGAAAAGGAACGATAAGAACACGCGATGATAGTTATTTTACATTTCTTTTTAATATTTCTTATTTTATTTGTTAATATTTTTTAAATGATAAAATACAGAACATGTCTTTTATATATATATATATATATATTTTTCTTTTTCATTTGTATTAAATATAAGTGCGTAAAAAATGTTAAAAATAGTATCTCTTATATACGATTTATACTTACAGGGTTTTTTTTTCTTTTTTTCTTTTTGACAGCACCGTGTATATAATTCGTTAGTGTAGTTATTATTAAATGTCGTTCAATTTACGAATAGGAAATGAACGGAGGCAATGTGGAGTCATGTCAAATATTATTCCACAATATTTTTGGAACAACAGTCTCATCGCTCGTAGTAGTGCGGCAGAAATAGCAAGGCCGTTTGTTTAATCGCTTTGGGTCTTATTGATTGTGTGAGCAAATCGAAAACTATATGATTTTATTTTTTTTTTTAGTTATCGGGCGGGATTATTTTTCAAATATTTTATTTATTTGAAAATTCAATCAATTATTCATTTAATACCAAATAAATATGGAACGATTAAATGATTCGATTTTGAAAATACATATAACATACATGCAATACATTTATAATATGCTGTAAGAATGACGTATATATATATATATATTTGTTTTAACATGATAAATATTGTCGTACAAATGACATGAAATCTCGTTTGAAAAAACATCAAATGAAAAAGAAAGAAACATACTTATAAACATGCTTGGTATTTAAATCAAATCTAAGAGTATCAGTTAGCATATCATTTCTCGATATCATCTCTCGATAAATGAAGACGACCGTGATCTCTACGACGACGACTACGACAACGACGACAACGACGACGACGACGACTACCACGACGACTGGTGGCGTTTAATGGCTTTATTGTATCCAGCAAGAGCGAGATTTAAATCGTGCCTGCCTTGGAACTTATCCCACGTGTAGATACGAGTAAACCGTGCGCAGTTTCGTTTGCATAAAGGAGATACGTCTTTCTTGCAACGTGTGTGCACACACACGCGCACGCACGTCTTCTTGCGACGTAAGTGCGCGTGCGCGCGCGCTTATCTCTTTTCGGCTTAGGCATGTACATATATGTATATATTCTACAAAATGTTTCTTAGATACTAGTTCATTTAGATATCAAAATGAAAATTGCATACTAGAATACAAAGTTCTTAAACAATTTCACATTATCATTTTTACATTATTTTTATATATATATATATATATATATATATATGTTATAGAAAGATATTAGCTAATCATATTAGCAAATCATCATATAAAGTTGCAATAACGTATATGAAAATAGATTATGAAAGAAAAACAATGGTTAACGTAGGCGAATTTCTCGACTGATTCCTGATAGGTTGAATTCTTACTTTCCACATTGATATTGACCAATCAGAAATGTTTAAATCATTGCATTCTTCATCTCATGATGGATTATTTATCATTGAAATTTTTCTTTTAATTTTAATGTTATATTTGATATAGGATCATGAAAATATTCGTGTTTAAATAAAACAACATGAAAAATAAACTTGTAAGTTAACTTCATTGATCGTTTGTGCGTATGGATTTACAGTTTTATATTAGAATCTAGATGACTTTGACCATTTGAATCTTTTACCGCGTATAGTTATATCTTATTCTGATAGTGGATAGTTGCACTTTAGCGAGAAATATACGAATCGAAAATTTTCTTTGGCTTTTTTTTACCTTTACAAGGACTTATTAGATCTCTCAAACGTTAATGGTTAAAAATTATATGCAATAGAAATATATATATATATGTGTGTATATTTGAATATTATTGATATTCTCATCCTGGAGGAAGACATTGAAATATTCTAAGGAAATATTATAATCGGTATTTCATTTGTCACTTTTCCTTTACACTTCATGTAACATTTGAGTTCTGTAAATAATTAAACGTTTTGTTATTTAAAAATATCTATAAATCCATTTATTTATTAAAATTATTATTGTTAAACATTTTTTGTGTTATACACCAGAGTCAATTTGACTAGTGTGGTAGTAATAGGTATAGTAAAAATGGTGGAATATCTAGTGTTAACGAATTTCTAATTGTTGAAATAAATTTACAAAATTTTCTATCAACTTATTGAACAATTTATTTTTTATTACATGATTCGCTTCATATAATCGAAAGCTTTACTGATTCTTTATTCACGTATACTGTGTAGGCGTAATATCTATTCAGATGTAAGGAGAAATCATGTATCATGAGAATTTTCACATGAAGGTCTGTAAGTTGTATCCAGCATAAAGACAGAATATTTATTATAAATTCACGATCATTAAACAATGCATTAACGGATTTTTTTTTTTTAATTAACAGGAAAATAATACATTTTTATTCATTTATTTTATCTTCTCGAAATTTGTTTAAATAATAATAATAATATTATTTTATTATAATTCTAGGCTGATTGATGCAACATTAATGGCCGTTTAATATATATATTTATTTATATATACAAAATATTATATTTACGAACATTATTTGTGCATAAGAATTTATCGTCAATTATTTTTCTTTTATATTATATAATTACAAAAGCATAAGTAATTGTATAATACATCATTGAATCTATTGCAATGTACATAATAATAATAACAATCTTTACTTTATAGTGACATCTATTATGCATTTAGATATTAGAATGAATAATTTCATTTCTAATATTTAATTTCTCATTATTTATTCACAACGTTTAAGCCTAAGTAATGTTTTATTTAATACGGAAATAGGATTCGCCTAAGATACGTGATTAATTTTCCAACGTTGTTTTAAACTTACTCTATAAAAGGAAAGATAGAAAAAAAAAAAAATGTTTAGGCTAATGGAGGACCTATGAGATATCTAAGAATTACATAAATCGATTTACGTTGTTAGATTTAGAACGTTCGTTCGTAGTCTTCGCTTAGTAAAGCCGCTATTTCTGTCGTTAATAATTCGTTATGTAGCTCTCTTTAGGATTTATTTCGTAATAAGCAACCATCACTTTTCATCCATTTTGTATTATTTTATAACATTTTTAATAGAATATTAACAATATATTTTTGAAGCATATTAAAAGATATTTTTTTTTTTCTCTAAGTATTGATGTTGTATTTTTGTTTATATATGCAATTCAAATGATTCATAAAAATCATATGAATATAATTATTGTGTTTATATATATATATATACATATATGAGATAAGAGATACAAAATACACATAGATACATAAGACATATGATTTTAATGGGATTTTTTTTACTAACAACATTTTAATATTATTGTATATGTATATGTATGTATCTATGTAAGCATGTAAGCAAGCTAGAGATGTTGCATCGATGCGACGTGCTGACATAGTGACCCACTTGCAATTTGATTATATAGTAAGGCCTAGCTAGCTTTACCCAATTTGTATTTTTGTTTGAAGATCTAATTTCTAATTTCCTATGTCAAACATAAAGCTTAGTTTCCTTTACAATTATTGTTTCTCATGAAAAAGAAAAAAAGAGGAAGCAAAAATTATCGATTTTCATGGACGTGGCTACTCATATTGCCTCGGAGTTCAAACTCAATAGACTCTTCTACAAAACAGAAGATGTATATCTATAATTTCTATTGCTTATAATAACAATAATAATAATAATAATAAATTTTATTATTATTATTATATTCTCCTCGTATCAGTTTTCGCTTGAAAATCTAACTGTTTATATGTAAAATGAATATGTGTATGCATAAATATTTAATATTCAGTGCATTGACTTTTTTATAGTAATTATTTAGCTTTCTCTATAATGCATATAGCGATAGGGTATTCTTAAAACGTACACATATATATGTTTTATCACCTTTTAATATTATTATCATTCTGTGTATTATTATCTTCACGTTGCATGTAAGAAGAGGAAGTATTTCTATATAGACTCAAGTATTAGAAGAACGTATATGCATGGTTGCGTGCATGTTATTAGGGAAAAGTGAGATGAAAAGTGAGCATCACTGTCGTTGCATAATTTATAAGATAATATTTCTTCTTTCTTTAACAATGTAAGATTTTTGTATGTCTGCTGCTCTGCTGTGCCGCCTGCTACTCTTGCTGATGTGTGTGTGTGTGTGTGTGTGTATGTAAGTGTATAAAATCGTTTGGAATAGTTTGGATTTATACAAGGTCATTTTTAAATTATATTCTTATAATATTGTGTTAGATATTAATAATTATTATAATTGAAACAATAGTTTTTAATTTAAATACAAATTAAATTTTTGTGGAATGTTTAATAAAAAAAAAAAAAATTACTTAACATGTTTGAGGAACAAAAAGTACATTAAAAAATAAAAGAATAGACGTGTGTTTTTAAAATGATTTCTTTTTTACAGGTTACGGAAAAACACACAAAGACGCAGCTAGTGTTCGTACAACACATTCTATACCTGCATCCTGTGGCTTGTATTATTTTGAAGTGAAGATTGTGAGCAAAGGAAGAGATGGATACATGGGTATAGGGCTCTCAGCGCATGGCGTGAACGTTAATAGATTACCAGGATGGGACAAGCACTCATATGGATATCATGGAGATGATGGCCACAGCTTTTGTTCGTCGGGTACGGGTCAACCATATGGACCTACATTCACCACAGGAGACGTCATTGGTTGTGGTGTTAATCTTGTTGATAACACTGCATTTTATACTAAAAATGGTCACCACCTTGGAATAGCTTTTACGGATCTTCCTGTAAGTATAATTTTCATGAAATTAATTTTTTTTTATCGATTATTGGGTTGATGATTGTACTTGTAAAAATATGATAAAAATTGAATACAACCTTTGTTTATTTGAAATTTCGTGTTTTCGAGAAAACGTTATTTGACTTTAATGTTTGAACAATTGACTAGTTATTATGATCGATTATCTGTATAAGAGATAGTGTTGATAAACATTAATGACATTATTATGGGAAGTATCGTAGAAGTCACAGTGTATCAGAGAAACGGTATTAGTTCGATTCTATTTGTTTCACATTGAAGTAAGATATTTTAATTTTGAGTACATTGATATATATATATATATTACTTGGTTATTTGCAATATGGAAGAAGAAAAATATGATGAAGGAATGTTCACCGATATTGAAGATGTTGACGATACTATCGAGGTAATAATGTAAAATAATAATAATAGATAATAAAAGACAAATTCAAATCATATATTACTGTTAATATTTATCAATACTATTTCGCACAAAGATGGCTAATCGAAATAACGACAATCTAATCATATTCAAATTTTTATCTTATTTTTGTTAAAGTATAATCATCCTCTACCCGATTATTTTACTATTATTATCCACGTCCAACTCTTGTATAGATGTATTTTGTAGGTAATTGATGAAATAATTGTTTTTTTTTTTGTTTTGTTTGATATTGCAGCCAAATCTCTATCCAACGGTTGGTCTGCAGACACCAGGGGAGGTAGTGGATGCGAACTTCGGGCAATCACCATTTGTCTTCGACATCGGGGATATGATGAATGAACTGCGCGTACGAACGAGATTACAGATCATAAACTTTCCGACGCCGGATCATGGCCAGGGTCAGTGGCAGGCCGTCCTTCACAAGTACGTATTCACCCAGAAAAGCAAGACGGATCCGTGACACTTACGCACTCTCTGGCCGTGCTTCCTTTTCTTCTCCGTGATTGTTTTTCTTCCTCCTCCACTTGTCAATGTCGTTCATTAAGAATCCTTCGACTTGCGAGACCTCTTCCGGGGAAGTTAGCTGAAAATCTTCATGGAATAATCGTCTCGAGAGTAACGAAGGTGTGTACGAATTCGACAGAATGGTGTCTACGTATCTCGTCCATCACGGGTACTGCGCCACCGCCGAAGCCTTCGCCAACAGCACGGGCCAAGTCTTTGAGGAGGACTTCAATTCCATTAAAAATAGACAAAGTAAGTACGTTAGGTAAATAACATTTATCTATTAACTCTTATTTATTAATGATTGTTATGTGCCGCTAATTAAAAAAAAATACAATTATTTAATATGTAGATTTTTTTTTTTTTTTTTTTTTTTTTTTTAATTTGTATTACATTTATAACTCTGGCTATATTGAGTTAACCTGGTTTTACATTGCGTGTTTGTAACATTCAACAATGTTTTTACTCAATTTAAGTCATAAAATTGAACAAATTGATTTTATGATTTATTATATATTATAATTAAGTATATATTATATGAAATAAATTATTTCTCATTTTTTGATTCAGTCCACAGTTATAATTACCAGGCACATATCATTGCAATGTTGTATTTTTGTAATATTAATTTGTAGGGATTTTAAAACTCGTATTGGCTGGACGTATGGGCGAAGCAATAGATTTAACTAGCCGATTATATCCTGGACTTCTAGAACGGGACCCTAATTTGTTGTTTGCATTAAAATGTCGTCAGTTCGTCGAGATGGTAAACGGAAGTGATTCAGAAGTCTGTCAAACTAGTAGCAACGTTAACCAGACTAGTGTCATACAATCTACCAAAGCTTATGCGAAATCGTCGGCGAACGGTAATGTAGAAGAAATGAATATTAATAACACGATGAACGGTGGTGCAACGGAGCAGCAATTTGTTAACGGCCAGATCGAAGAAGACGTCGACATGGAAGATAATAATATGGGTACGATGAATGGTATCAAGAATAGTAATGGTTATCAAAATGGTAATCTTAATGCGAACGGTTTCAAGTGTCAAAATGGAGAAGACATGGATATGGGTGAGGAATACTCCTTCTCTATATCTATTTAAAATTATTATTTTTTTTCTTTTTATACTATTATAACTAATGATCACACATACATACACATTAAAATAGCGATTATATATTTTATTTTTTATTAAGAATTTTCTTTGCATGTGTGCTTTTATTGAATTACATATATTGGTGAGTATAAAAATAAAAAGGATATATATTCTCTGAAGGTTTTGAAATCTTTTATTGGATAAGCATTTAGTTCCATAGATGATTATTATTATTATTATTATTATTATTATTATTATTATTATTATTATTATTTTACGCCTAACTGTGTGTGAGTGAAACTTTCGAGAGCATTAAGATTTTGCATCTCTGTTCGCAGAGATCGATGGTGCCAACCAAAATCAACAACAACAACAACAACAACAACAAAACGGCAATTGCAGCATTAACAATGACGTTATTGCGAATAAATCTAAAAAGCAATTGTGCGGTGGTAATAAACAAGCAATTGAAAAAATGTTGGACTTCGGTAGACAACTATATTCCCAATCGATACATTTGAGACAACAGCATGGCAAGAATGAAGGAAATAAAAAAATGTTACAAGATGCTTTCAGTCTCTTAGCATACGCAAATCCATGGAACTCGCCTGTTGGTTGGCAATTGGATCCTCAACAACGAGAAACCGTTTGCGCGAGGTTGAATTCTGCAATACTTGGTAATGATACATTAAGAAGAAATTTATTCGTTTTCATTTCCAATAAATTAATAATAAATGTTTATAATTATAAATGTGATCAAAATAATTTTCAATTAAATCTAACATTTGTTTATTTCATTTCGATTCTTCTATGTGACATTTTTATCTTGAAATTGTTCATTGTAGAATCTAGCAATCTACCTCGTCGACCACCTTTAGAAGTAGCAGCATCTCATGCGAGAGAATTAGTTCGCTTGATGTCAACTGCTGGTCTTGGCGCGTGCGGTTTCGCGGTTGTAGATAATATCATTCAATATTGACGGTGCCTCCCTCTGCTCCCACGTCCTCCGCTTCTACCAGCTCGTGTATGGTGAGTTTTTATAATAAATTATTATTTTTATAATTCAAGAAAAACTATCATCCAATGTCGAGTTGATTTACTTTAACAAATTGAATGCCACGTCAATTTTATCAGGATTGTCCGTGGTGCCACGATGTGGAAATATGTTTCTATTAATCTGGGCACCCCCCGGTGCCCCCCGTGGCATTCAACCTATTAAAAATATTAAGTTTTCTTAGAAAAATTAACTTTATTTCCATTGGTGGTGGTTACACATGATTATATTTTTTATCTATTCTTGTTAAAATAATTGTTATTTTATCAGTTTTAAATAAAATTACGATTTTTAATAGTTTTATTTAACACGTTGGCTGTCACGCGAATTTTACGTGACTTTGACCAAGGCGCCAACATGAATTTTTGCATTATGCATCGCTGGTAACCGGTGGCCTCCCACGGTACTGTAGCCAAGTCGGATGACGGTCACCGGTGACCCCCACGGCAGTCAACGTGTTAATTGTACAATGTAAGAGTTAGTAGATTTGTTGAATGAACGTTGATTCAATTATCGTTAAACCAATAAAAAAAAAAAAAAGAAAAATACATTTTTCTAATCGAGCATCTTGAAAATAATATGTTTAGTAATTTGTATTATTAATAAAAAGTAATATTTTAGGATGCGAAGACGGAACGTGGAGCAGATTATTTTGTTGACGCAGCAACATCGCGATGTCGCGTGCCTCTTTAGCTAGAGTAACCGCATTTGTTTGTCGGTGACTCGGCGCGATCTCACACCACAGACACGACACAAGGTGAACCTTCAAACCTGCCAACCAAAATGACACTTCACATTTTTAGCTTAAATTGGGGGAAAGGGGGACAGTCACTTTGGAATCCGCTATGAATTAAAAGAGCAGAAAAATTAAAGCGGCAGATCGGTGTGTGTTCCCTCGTTTCCAAATGGTTGTCAAGTAAGGCTGGTAGATTTACATTACACACTATTATAATTATTATTATATTGTTATATTATTCTTATTATATTATTATTATTCTTATTCTTATTATTATTATTTTATGTCACTTCTTTTTAATCT